TGCGTAGTACTGGTCAAGATGGGGTGTAGTACTGGTCAAGATGGTGTGTAGTACTGGTCAAGATACTGAGTAGTACTGGTCAAGATGGTGTGTAGTACTGGTATAAATGGTGTGTAGCACTGATCAAGGTGGTGAGTAGTACTGGTCAAGAGGCTGGTCAAGATGGTGAGGAAAAAAGTTCAGCCTCCCATGTCTTAATTTCCAAAATAATCACGCCACAAACACAAGCTTCATTCCAAACAAAACTTTGAAATGCCAGCTATAAAATTCTAGACGTTATCTTTCCACAGAAGAACCAACTTTGTCAACACAGGGGCGACAACGAACAACTTAAGTCCGCGTACTTGAGTTTCCGGAAAATTCTAGCGGTTTTCTTATGCATCACCCACGCACATCGGCTTCGATTTCTGCATCGTCGTTATATTGATTTCCCCTCAAGTGTTCTTTAAGCTTCGAAAAAGGAAATACAATCTGATGGGGCAAAGTATGGACTATACGAAGGATGTGGGAAGGAACTGGTTGAATTTGAGTCACAGCATAGCACCCTGGGTCTTTTGGCCTGTGTGAGGACGAGCCTTCATTGTCATGATGGAGAATGGCATTTCTAAGGTGTTGAAGTCGTGATAAACGTTCCGGAAGTTTTCGAAGAGTCTCTTCTACGAATTGATCTGTCTTGACAGAGTGGCCCTGCTCCAATAACTCCATGTGTATAAATGTCTTCATAATCCCAAAATACTGTTAAGAGCCCTTTCCCAGAGGAGCGTACAAGTTTGACCTTTTTGGGACGTGGCGAACCTTTCAGCGGGAATTCGATGGATTGTCTCTTGTTTCATAGGTCATTATGGTGAACCCGTGCACTAGAGAACTCTTGTAGGGAAATCGATATGACGACGAAGCAGAAATCGAAGCTGATGTGTGTAGGTGGTGCAAAGGAAAATTGCAATGAGGAGACTTGTTGCTCATCAGCGTACCTGTGATGACAGAGATGGTTAATGTAGGTGCTTTAACGCATTCAACGAAACGATATACACGTAGATAGTTTAGGAGGTGGGCTTCCGACTATGCCTGTCAGAGCCAATCCGGATTGAGAGGAATAAAACATTCCAAGAGAAAGAATAGGTGGATATTGTATGGAAACGTAAAGGTAGAATTTCATGGCAGACATCCAAAGCTCCCCTTTGAATTTAGTTTGTAGTCGTGACGTGATTGTATTGGAAATTATGATCCTAGGAGGCAAGTCTTTTAAGTTAGCCGTAGTATACATAATGGACAGTTATGATGCCAGATGTGTTACACCCCTATCACCGACACCGTCCAGATCACTCAGGAAGCGACACTTTCAACCATGTCTTTCATGGCACGGTGGCTTGGCCATATACATGTATTTCCAACGACTCCCAAACTCGAGAATTTCCTCTAAGCTGCGCATTAGAAAATCGATGGGAACAGAGGCAGGGGGCGACTAAAGATAGACTGGATGCGGACAATAGTCAAAGTCCATAAACAAGTAGACAAGAAATGGAGTGAAATCCCCGCCCTTGCTACAGACAGAACTTCCAGTTCATCTCTGATTGCCTTATGCATCACATGACGAGAGTCTCTACGTCTTAAGTCTAAGTAAGTCTTTCATGGCTGGGCACTTCGCCATTGCACGTAAATGGGAGAAGTTCGATTCCCTGGAGGGGGTTGCTAATTTAATCGAATCATCTCCATCTTTCCTCTTGTACACAAATTATATCCCTCTCAGCTCCCAGTCGGCCCTGATCGAGTCAATGGTGCCGGAAAACATTTGCAATCATTTATAGGCATTGTCGGGTCAGCTCGTCCTAGACAGATGGCCATCGGTAGAGACTATCTCACTTGTAAATGACTGCAGTAACCAGTCACGTGGTTATCGGGGGGAGGGGGAAAGGAGGGAGGAAGGGGAAGAGGAGGGAGG